AAAAATAATTATAACCAATGTAACAAGTATTACCATGATATGAAATACATTTCTGAAGCACTTTCTTTTTTTAATGAAAGATGGGTCTCTGCCACTGGATTTTAACACATGATCAAAACCCCATCTTATTCTTAGGCAACCACTTCCCCTTTGCCACCTCCGGTGGTTGCTCACAGTGGTACACATTACTAGATACTCAGTGAATGTTTGTTTAGTCAAATTGGATATCCTTAGGAAAGCACTTAACACATCACAATATAGAAACTTTCTCTAAAATAATTTTAAAAATAATTTTAGAATCAATGTATGCTTATTATAGACTTAGAAGACCCAAACAAATATGAATAAGGTTTAAATCATCTAGCCCCATATCCAAGTAATGATTTATTTTTCTCCAATATTTCTGTTGCATACTTGTCACATTACAACTGATAACATTCATATTTACATGCAATTCTGTAATCCATTTTATTCACTTATTAAATTATGAACATTCTGCATGTTATTAAATAGCCTTTAATACTAGACAGCTTAATGGAAGCCTAATAGTTTATCATAAGAATTTATAATTTAAACATTATATGATTATTAGACAATTAGTTGTTTAGAATGGTTTATAATTATAAATAATTGTACAGCCGTAATCAGTATCCTGGGTACATAAATTTTTATCCCTGTCACTGATTATTTTGCTAAGGACCATATTTTGGCAAATAGACACATAGAATAAAAAGAACTTAAAGCTTTATTATGTTGTAAATTTCCAAGAACATATTTTTTCCAGCCAAAGATTTATAGTAATTAGTACCCATTATTAAAAATATATCTTTACTTTTTAAGAGAGCCAATCAACATTTTTAGAAATTTAATGCTCAGAAAGATGAAATTTTTCAATAGTTGTTTCTTCAGTGTTTCTCAGACTTCGCATAGGCAGTTGTTAATAAATTTCCTTTGAAGAGATGAATAATTAGAATATATGAAATGAAGCACTACAGAACAGCTTAATAAATTAATTTGTTGGCAAATTGTCAAAACAAGGCATTTTGAAGCCTATTCCAACTAGCCATTGCTGTGACAAAAGTTAGTAGCTTCAAAAATCCATCTACTCCTTGCTTTCATGGTTTAGGCAGTCAATGGACACTGCTAGGCAGTTCATGCCTAAGGTTTCTCATGCAGATGCCAGCATCAGCTGAAGGTCTCTTCCCTCACTTTGCCTGGGCTGGGATGCCTAGAATAGCTGGAGGCAAGCTGGGTGTATCTACCTCTTCATAGGCCCCTCCACATGGTTAACTTGGACTTCCTTAGAGAATGGGAGTCCCAAACTTTCACTTGTTTCCCACAACATGCCTTCCAGGAGACCTGTGTGAAGGCAAAGCTTCCTATGACCTTATATCAGAAGTCACACAGTGTCACATCTACCATTATCTATTGAATCCATACAGGACAGCCCAGATTCAAGGTGGGTCAAAGAGGAGGCTCCACTTGTCAAATGGAAATGAGTTACACTTAAAGGGAAGAAAGGAAGCGAGGGTAATCCTCTTGGGCACAGGCTACCACAAAGTCTTTATTCTTCAATGACATCTCTGTCTGCTATATAATTTAAATGTGCCTTTATGACACACTTTTTCTTTCCTTCCTTCTTTCAGTGGAAACTGCTTCCTAGATTATTAATAAAAGGAGATAGGGTCTCTGTACCCCTTTCTTCTTTATTTTATTAATTTTTATTTATATATGACAGCAGAGTGCATTATAATTCTTATTACACCTATCAAGCACAATTTTTCATATCTCTAGATGTATACAAAGTATATTCACAGCAATTTATGTCTTTTTACATGTACTTTGGATAATAATGTCCATCACATTCCATCACAATTTGTAACCCCATACCTCCTCCCTTTCCTTCCCACCCCTCTGCCCTATCTAGAGTTCGTCTATTCCTCCCATGCTCCCTCTCTCCCTACCCAACTATGAATCAGCCTCCTTATATCAGAGAAAACATTCAGCATTTGTTTTGAGGGATTGGCTAACTTCACTTACCATTAGCTTCTCTAACTCTATCCATTTATCTGCAAATGCCATAGAAATTAAAGAAATGCAAATCAAAACTACTCCAAGATTTCATCTCACTCCAGTAAGAACGGCAACTATTATGAAGACAGACAATAAGTGTTGGCAAGAATGTGGGGGAAAAGGTACACTCATACACTGCTGATGGGACTGCAAATTGGTGCAGCAAATATGAAAAGCAGTATGGTCTTGGAAAATTGGGAATGGAACCACCATTGGACTCAGCTATCCCTCTAATCAGTCTATACACAAAGGACTTAAAAACAGCATACTCCAGGGACACAGCCTCATCAATGTTTTTAGAAGCACAATTCACGATAGCTAAACTATGGAACCAACCTAGATGCCCTTCAATAGATGAATGGATAAAAAATGTGGCATACATACACAATGGAATATTATCCCTTTCTTCTTTCTAAAAAATCAGATTTTACAATCAGATCTGCATTCAAATCTGTTATGCCATTCACCAACAGTTCATTAGAATGGACTCCAATTTCTAGTGCCTAGCACAAACCTAACAAAGATATTGACTAAATAATTTATTATTTATTAAATAATTTCAAAGTTCATTATCCACTCTAGGAATACATTAATGTTTGGAAAACATTTAGTACAGCTCCTTAATATAGTACAGGAGAGTATGACAGCTATTAGTATTATTATTATATTCTTCTCATGATATTGTTATTACAGATGTTCTCCTTGTTCCTGTCACCACAGTCTAACAACTTTAGCAACTACATCACATTTATTTTTCTCACCATATGTATAACCACTATTTTAGTGGCTTCAAGACTGATACTGCTGACACATTAGACAAACTTTTACATCCCTAGAACTTGTCAACCTAATCGTTATTTTCTTCCCTTCTCTCCTGCAAACCAAATCATCACTCGAAACTATTTTACCTCTCAAGAAATAATAACAAATTCTGCCAATCTCCCTTCATAGACATGATCCTACTCTTACATTTCCTACAATAATAATCCCATCTCCTGACTCCTTTTTATTTGTCTGTCAGCACTTTCTGGCCTCACCTTACCTCCTACTCTACCTTGACTCCACAGTCACCCATGTCTTTAGTATCTTTGATGATAAAGACTAACTCTGCCAAACTCTTAAACCTTAACTTCTCGATTTCTTTTCCTGGTCCTAGCATTCCAGACCTTGCCAAGTTCCTCAGTTCCCTTCAAAATGATATACTCCAAGCAAACTTGAACTCCAGTACTATTCCAAAATCATTTTATAGCCTCCTCTTTGCACACTTCCATTTTTACTATATCCCTATCCCAACCCTTCCCGGTTATTCTCTAGGGTCACCTCATTTTCATCCTATCACTCTCACTTCTGGAGATAGTCTTTAAAAAAAAAAAGGTTTTTTCCCCACATACCTTTATTCTATTTATTTATTTTTTATGTGGTGCTGAGGATTAAACCCAGGGCCTCACAAGTGCTAGGAAAGCGCTTCACCACTGAGCTACAGCCCCAGCTTGACAGTCTTGTTTTCTACTTGAGTGAAAAAAAAAGAGTGCCTTCCAAAATGAGCCTTTTTACTTTTGCAATCTCAAAGACTTTCTGTGTTAACTGGCTTCCCTGTTGCTTCCATCTTCTCTCTTGGAGGAAAAACTGCTACTCCCTCTCAAGTTTATCCTTTACTACTCTGTCCACAATCCCAACTTTCTGTCACCCTTCTGATGAATAGTCCATATCTATCAAATCTTTAGTCTCTACCATATGCTGCTGGTTCTTCTCAGCCTGGGTAAAAATGCTCATCCTTCATATCCTGAAAACATCATTTGCCCCAATGAGGCTTTTAAACTCTTTCTCCATCTCGTTGTTTCTTTCTTGTTGACAGTCTCAGAGGTCTTCACTAACTACTCATTCTTTTCAGCACCAAATCATTTCTTAGCTCCTTGCAGTCTAGTAAAGTCCTTACCTCTTAGTCATCCCAATCACCAAATCCAGGCAACAACTTGCTACATGTGTAGCAAGTTCAGAAAATAACAACAATAAAGCACTTAAAGGTAGAATTTTTTTCATTGAAAATAAAAGCATTCTTGCAACTTGAATTGTCTACATTAAAAAACAGAAAAAAATGTCAATGAGATAACTGACATTGCTTTTAGCTATCACAATATAAATAGCTGTGCATTTTTAAATGCTATTAAAATCACTATTTTATAGTCAATAATACAATGGTATATTTCTCCTCAAATCAGATCATGGTTTCTTTTTAAAGATGAAGTTCATGTTCACAAAGATTAGTCATCACTACGCTATGCAATTCTTTCAAGATCAAAAAAGAATTAACCTCCTCTGATTCACTACCTACACTGCCTTACACAAAGATAAATAAAAAGAACCTAATTTCAGTCTTGAAATTTTCATCAACTCTACACATGTCTCATTTCTGGTATATGTCCTTACCTTATCAATACTATCATTTCTTCAGAACCCTTGTCTTTTGTTACAGTCTAAGATACTTAACAGAACACATCACAATTTTATATACTGTAGGTTTATTCAACGTGAAAATGGGATTGCTTTTGTTTCTGGAAGCATCGACTATCACTCTGTTGCAACCTCTGTAAGCTGTGATAGATTTCAACAACTATAGTTGATATTGATGTTTATACCCTGTATTTGCTTCTAATTATTTTTTTCTTTTCCTATAAAACATAATGCTAATTGGTAGTTGCCTCCAGGCACAAAACATCAGAAAAATATCCAATCTATAATTAAATTCCCTGCAGAAATCCTAGAAACCAACTTGCATCCCATAATTTTTTGCTGTCAATTTTCATTACTAAATACATATTTCATTAAGATGATTATGTAGTTTGATGAGATCCACACTGGCAATACAATTTCTTCTTGCTCCTCATAATGAGCTGTACTTAGCTTTGCCCTTTGCCTTTTGCCTTCAGGTCCCCCAGGTCCACCTGGAATAGTAATTGTGGAGGAAATCACTGACAGCACAGCCACACTCTCCTGGAGTCCGGCAGCTGACAACCACAGCCCAATCTCCTCCTATAACCTGCAGGCTCGCAGTCCCTTCTCCTTGGGCTGGCAAACTGTAAAAACAGGTGAGTCCCAAAGCAACATCAGACACAACCAGAGCTTCCTATCTCATGATTAATATCTGTTTACAATCTCACTAGGATCTTTTCTAGGTTCTGAAATCTTGTTATTATTTAATGCACTATTGACCACTGTTTGCTTCTTTTTATGAACTGAAAAAAGCAAGCTACCTTTCTTTCCTCTTAGTTTCCAAACAGGGAGCACATCGTGTTTGTTTGTTGAAATCATTTTGGACTTACATAAAAGTTGTAAAAATAATACAGTTTCTTTGGACCCACTCCCCACCTTCCCCCAATAATAAAATCTTACACAGCCACAATACAGTTATCAAATCAGGAAAGTGACATTGGGACAATTCTCTCAGTCGAGCTTCAGGCCTTATTTGGATTTCACCCAGTCTGATAATGCAATTTTTCTTGGTGCGTAGTTCTGTGAAATTCTTTGTAATTTTATTTTATAGATTCAAGAAGCCACGGGAAAATTGGATATAGGAGTGTTCCATTGTCCCCATTCCTTGTGCAATGCCTTTATAGTCATATATCTATTTATAAAAAAATCTAACATAAATTGTATTATTTAAAACATTATAGTATTTTAATGACCACTTTTAAGATGTTTCCATTATAGTTGTATTATTCCAAAAATTATTTTCATCTTTTTATATTTTAAAACTAAATTCCCCCTATTTCTTCAATGCACTGTCCATCAAGGACGTGTAACCCCAAACTCACCTCCTGACAGTAAGATATGCATTTAACATGGTATTTGAAAAGTGTGTAAGACCATAAAATGAAATGAACTTTAAAATCACTCTTTTAGGTATTTAGGATACATTGATGAACACTGACAACAACAACAACATCTCTGCCTTTGTAAAAATTGCACTGTCATCGTGAGGATAAATAATCAACAGAAAACAAAATAAGCATATAAATTGCATAGTATGTCAGAATTTAATGTGTGCTGTGGGAAAAGAAATAAATTGTGTTGATATGGTATGGTAGAAGTATACTGGTAAAGCAGTATATTAGTTGGTGTGGGCATTCATAGCAAACCATAGACTGAGTATGTTGAACTGAAATGTATTTTCTCAGTTTTGGAAGTTGGAATTGCAAGGTCAATTTTCTGGCTGACTTGGTTCCTGATGAAGACTCTCACATGCAAATGCTCTGGTGTCTCTTTTTATAAGCATACTAAGAAGAGAACACCCTTTTGTGATTACTTAAAACTTTAATCATTCCTTAGAGACCCCATTTTCAAATAAAGCAACCCTAGAGGTTAAGGATTCAACATATGAATTTTAGAAGGACACAATTCAGTTCGCAACAGGAGGTTATAATTTGAAATAGAATGACCAGCATATGCCTCATGGAGTTGGTACATTTGAGTGAACTTTTAAAAGAAATGAGGATTTAGCTATGCCAATACCAAGGGAGAAAGCAGCCCAAGTAGAAGGACGAACCAATGTGAAAGTATCAGAAGACTAATGAGGCAGGGGCAGAATGAGATTTGGAAAAACGGTAGAAGATGAGTTTGGAGAGATGTTGGCAGTCCCACATCCTGAAAGAATGGAGAAATACTGGAGAACTGATATTCCCTATCTTTTAATACATTCATTCCAACTATGTTGGAAATAGATTATGAAACAGGTAAGGAGAGGGGGCACTGCACTGGTTAGGAAGCTATCATTGTTGAGAGATGGTATTACTTCAGAGTGACAAAGGACAAGTCATAAAATTGGTCAGAATTTGAAACATTTGGAGTCTCAAGTTTGAGGTTTAGGATAAAGTTATAAATTGTAAAATTGTCACATAAATTGTATTTAAAGCCATAAGGTTTCATGTCAACTCAAATAAAATAAATATAAATTAAAGAAATGAGTATGAAAATCCAGTCCTGGAACATTCCAATAGTAAAAAGTTGTTGAGAAGGGTAATCAGCCAAAGGATACAGAGAGGAAGTAATCATTGGGAGAAAATCAAATCAAAATAATGTGATTTGTTGGAAGGAAAAAAAAATGAGACTATCACAGAAGAGAGTAAATATTTCAAATGTGGCTGACATGTCAAATGAGTACTGGAATTGACCACTGATTTTAGTTATATGAAGACCATTGGTGACCTTGATAATAACAGTTTTAGTCCCATGATAGTCAATAATATCTGATAAGAATAATTCAAGAGATAATGGGAGAGAAATTATTACAGAAAATTGATAGGTTTTACTGCAAAGGGAAGTAAAGAAATAAACATATTTTGAGGTCATAAACACCATAATTTACTTAGGGATTGGAGTCAGACAGGAAGAAATAAAAGTGTTCAGAATGGCTCTAAGATTTTGGCTACATCTGTTAGAAAGAAACTGTCATTCCCTTAATGAGTCCTTCAAAACATTATTCAAGTGTAATTGTCTAATAGGCCATTGAACATGAGTCTGGAGTCTAGCCAAGAGATTCATGGCTGAAAATATTGGAGTCATCAGCATAGAGAGGGTGTTTAAAATTATGAGACTGGATAAGATCACCAGGTAATAAGAAAATGGGGAAGAGTGGCACTGGGATGCTAGCAACAGAGCCTGATAAGGCACAGTCAGGCAGGTGAGGGCACCTAAGCTGTGAAAAGCATTTCAAAAGGGAAAGTGATCAATAGTGTCAAAGGATGATGACAGGTCAAGGAAGATGAGGAACTGAGACCTGACTTTAAAGTTTCAATAACAGAGACCATTGGTAAGCTAGACAGAAGATAAGGTGGAAAGCTGGAAGTAAGAGCATGATTGGAGGGGGTTCAAGAAAGAATGGAAAGAAAAAAATCCACAGGCAGAACAAGACATTTTTGCTCTAAAAGAAATAGTAAAACTAAGTGAAGACTAGAAGGAAAGGAAAGGTGATAAGAGCTTTGGGAGTTTTTTGTTTGGTTGGTTTTTGTTTTGTTTTCCTATAGGAAAAAAAATACCTGCATACTTGTTTGCTTATAGAAAGCATACATTATCTGCATTTTGAGGCTGTTTATTCTTCTATGCAATATCTTAAGAGAATCAGCCCTTGAGAAGGGCAAAATGTCCTCAATTCCTATTAGAGTAAAAAATTGGAATAACAGAACATTCAGAGAGGACATTAAGTGTAGAAGGGATTTTGCTGCCGACAGATCATGAATTCCAAAGATCACAGTAGAAGAGCTTCAGGAATTAAGGAGGAACACAAGCTGCGTAGAAAAGCAAGTGTGCTAAATTCTATGGAGATAAGAAAAAATAAAAGTAACAAGGTGGAGGGGCACAGATGTCTGAAATTGCCTACCATAGCAGAATGAAATGAAGCAACAAGGTAAATCCTGGTGGACCCAAGACAAGTGTTGGTGATACAGTGTAGAAGGGAGCCAGAGAGGATGTCTGGGAATCTTGTTCCCACCTTGACGTGTGGCAAGGGTAGCTCAGTATTTCCCCAATATATGGATTGGTGGCCTTTCTCCTATATCTCAGATCTTTGTGCTCCAAGAACTGTGCTCAGTTTCCAGTGCAATAAGAGGAGAAGGTTTTCCCCCACCTCTTCATGTCACCACTTACAACAATCAGCCCTGCAATTCTGTGAGATTTATCAGGCAGGCCATACAGCCTGTGCTCTGTTCACTCACCTTCCATGGAGCTGCTAACTTGGTAACTTTCTATACATTTCAGAAGAGACTCTCATGCAAAATTCAAGATGAATGAATCCCACTTTGCCATAGTAAAACTGAACTATCATCAAATCAACAGCCTTACCCCACTCGCATTTGTCCCCCCCCCACACACACACATCACATAGAAATCAAGGACTGATATCATCTCAAGATCTTTACACATAAGAATATGAAGAATCTCCCTTTTTATTCACATAAGTTCTAACAATATTTCCTAGAGAGCAGAGATGAGCAATAAAAGCAGTTCTGAATAGTGCTTATACACTATATAAAAAAGTATTTCACTACATGGTAATTGTATTGACAATTTTACCTTTTGATAAAAAAATAAATGTAGTACAAAATATGATGAAAAATGTAGTCACTATGAGAAGAAGTGAGAATATCCACTTAGATCCCACAAGTAGTTTTTAAAATAGAGAGCTATATTCTTAATTTGCTACTTGGAACTACCAAGTAGCAAAATATATTTGTCAGACCAGGACAGGCAAACTGCTCAAGAAATTTCTTAGAAATTGAAGAAAAACTCTTTGCTTAAATTATTTTATGACTTGGTCTCTTATCTGGAGTTAAGAGTTGATGAAATGATTTTTAGTATAGATAACGACAAGTTATATAATGACCAAACATAAGTAAAGAATTTTAATAAACTCCAGTAAACTTTGACACTTGCAAGCACTTATTTCCTGAAAATTGATTTTCATTTTGCTACTGACACTGGAGGTGGTGCCATGAGCATGTGTTGTGAGGAGGTATGAATCTGCCTGCTGATTATGTCAGTAATAGTGATATCTTTGAATTTGCCATTTATAGTATTTTTATAGTCCTCCTAATGACATAAAATATCATTCCTCTCTATAGTCCCAGAAATCATAACAGGAGATATGGAGTCAGCCATGGCAGTGGACTTAAACCCCTGGGTGGAATATGAGTTTCGGGTAGTAGCCACCAATCCAATTGGGACTGGAGATCCAAGCACCCCATCTCGGATGATCCGCACAAATGAGGCAGGTAAGAATTTAAAAAGTTGGAATTGACTTTGAAAGCAAGTTGAATTAAGCATGATTGCTTTATTGCTTGCTTTAATATAATTTGTCCTGATGCATTTACCTAGATATCATAAAATCATTTCCTTTAAAATAATGCTTTCACTTTACTTGTTTTCAAAACTTTTTTTTCCTTTTGACCACAAATACAGGCACGTGGATGCTGCAATTTTCTACCAACCATCACAGCATCTTCAAGTTAGCATGAAGTCAAAGCAATTAGTTTCTAATTCTAATTGTATACTTATACTCTATACATCCACAAAATCCAGAATGGATTTTTCTTCTTTTTCTCCAGTGAAAACATCCTCCTTTAATTATAACCTACTTCCTTATTACTCCTTTATGCTGACCTTCACCACCTAACCTGTATAAATTATACCTTGCAAATACAAACACAGTCCTTCCTTGACCTATTGCTTACTTGAAGTCTATGTGTATAATAAACACACATCTGCATTCTGACTTAGAATACAAGCATTTTTCTGGTCTTTTAGAATAAGTATCTCCGATAAAAAATGTTTTTTTTTAATGTAGATAAGAGGAATTAAAAGCTTTACTCAAAAAGTAAATTAAGCTATCTTTCTCATCACATGGAAAGAGTAGATGTACAAGGAACTAAAAAAAATTTACTAAGATTATTAATTAATTAATTAATTAATTAATTGTATGGATTAATCAGTGTATCTGTGAAATTTTCATACAAAGAGATTTTAGTAGATTTTATTACTTTGGACAAAGTCTATTGAGACATAAATTTTATAACCCTATAAAATTCTCTATTCATTTTATAAAGAAGAAAAGAGGTGTTCAGAGGTTTGTAACACAAAGGAATAATACATTTTTAGCAACACTGAATGCTAATTATCCTGAATTGATCATTACATGTTGTGTGTATCAAATGGGTACCATTTGTATCCATATATACACAATTAATATATACAATTAAATACAATTTATTTATGTATTAAGACAGTACCTAATAGCACCTAACAGAACACAAGGAGACACATGAATCAATACTTTGATGAGAGTAATATAAAAACATAAATGGGGAAGGTGGCAAAGTAGGTATTAGATCCAGGAAGGAAAAAAAAACTAATGTTTTCATACATATTTAATGATAATATGTAAAACTCAGAGAAACTTCATTAAAATGAAGATTTTTGTCATGTCTTCACTATCTTTTGGAATATAAAACAGTATCAGGAACTTGTACTCAACATGTCTTATTTTAAAAGGGAACATTCTTTCTCTTTCCTTTTGGCAGCCTTATCCATATCATTATCTAGGTCAGAGGCATATGTACATAGAAGACAGGATTAACTATATCCATTTTTTACTATATTTATAGACTTGGACCAAAATATGATTTGACTTCTAACAAACAAAATAATTATCAGCAAAATAAACTATCACAACAATTAAGCATATCATGTCTGACCCTTTAAAAATGAGAGGAAAGAATTCCAAATGATCAAGTTATTTCATTAAATACAAATAACTGTACAAAATATTTTCAGATTTTTTCCACATAAAAATTAAGCACCCAAGGGAAAAAATACATTACATATGATGGAAAATATTCATGCACAGAAAAATCCAACTTCTCTACTTTTATAATTTGCCTCTCACAAGTTGTTTTTTCTGCTACTTTTCAATAGTGTGAATTTTAAATTGAACATTAATTGGCTGGTTGGATTTTCATGCATCCATAAAATCAGCCATGCTTTCATTGTGTACAGGTGTTCATTAATTAAGAGCATAACAGGTTAGTCATTCCTCATTTTATGTACTCACTGTGCAGATATGGAAATGACTGCCAACAGTAATACTTATGCTCATATAATTTCTAAAAATCACTGCCTTATTTTGCATATTGTTAATTGTGTTTAAACAAAGACAAAGATTGCTGCCTAATTCAGAGGCTGTCTATAAATATTCGTTTCAAACGTAAATAATTCGTTTGGGATGAATAATCCTTTTAAACTTTTTATAGTATAAATTTCCTTGTGCTATTAAAAAGCTTTTTTAGCAAAAACGCTTTTAAACTAAATTATGTTCAGAAGATGCATTTGAAAGACTTCATCTGTTTCTGCAGCTTCCTCAATCATGTATTGCCTGTCTCTCCATTTTATCATGAGTTCTATATACATGACATACTTGAGTCCATTAAAATCTTATGGAAGAGAAATAGTATGAAAAATGCATGATGTACTCTTCTCTGAAAGTGAGTTGAAGGCTTGTGCTGCCCATTTTGTGCTTCTTTTGCTTAGATACTACCTACAACTCGAGCTACTAATGGTGTTGAACCAAGTGTTGAATTTTGTGCCTGTTTTGTCAGGCAGCACAGATTAAAAGGGACACCAATATCCTGAGACAGCCTCTCAAGTGATGCAGTCTGCCTCTATTAAGTGCATATCCTGTATTTTAAAAGATGAGTCTTTTCTAATGGACCAACTAAACTTTGAAAATTGACAGAGCTGCTTGGGAGGGGAAAGGTTTCACATTAGGATGTTCACTTGAAAATTTTATGCCTCTTTAAAATTCTCTTATTAGAAAATTCTAAATTCCAAAGCAGATTTAGCAAAGTATTTCAACCTTAGAATTGCTCCTTTCCGACACCAAAAAGTAACAAATGAATAATAAATAAATTTTCTTTGCAATTTTCCTCTAGGGTATATTTTGAATTTTGTAGTCATCAAAGCACTTTTTGTAGTCAATACAAGTAACTTAATTCAACTCAACTTCTTAGCAATAGGATATCAAAACAGTAATATAAATATGTATTTTTACATTAGTACACATTTATAGTGAAATTCTTACATGCTTTAATTAGAGACAGATAAATATCCCTGTGCTTATTAATTTATAAAATATGTTACTATTTTCAAAACAACATATAAATTATGAGACAATATAAATCCTTGGTTACTTAAAAGGATTATGTCACATTTTAAGAAATGAATTTGAAAAGTGCACTATGATAAAAATGGAAAAACATACAATGAATATAGCAACAGTTCTTTCCCTGAATGTCAATCTTCTATAAGTTACACATTTGTAACACTTGAAAGATGAATAAAAGAAGAATTAACTATGTAACTTGTCATTTAGAAAAGCATTGTATTCTTTATTGTGTAATATCTGTTGTATTCTTTATTGTGTAATATCCAAAACTCTTGACATAAATCCCAATATCTATTGTTATTTCAAACTTTAATTTAAATATATAAGTATATATAAATTAAAAATTGAAAATTTTTCTATACAAAAAATATATAAATATATATGTGTGTATAATATAAACATTTTAAAGGAAGCTTTATCTGTAATTATTTGAGTTTACATCTGAATTAATATTTTATTGTTCTATTTTCCAGCATTGTGAATATAAGTAATTTTGTTTAAGGCTTTGATTTTCCTACTTAGAGAAATGGGGAAAATATTACAACTTATCCCACTGGATAATGTGAATCTGACATAAGTTGTCTATGTACATATATGAATACACCACAGTGAATCTCACCATCATGTACACCAAGAAATTTTAACAAACAAAATAACTATGGGTAAATGGCAGAAAGATCAATAAATGGAAGGGGGTTTGGGAAAAGAAAGGGGAAGGATAGGTATTGTGGTCCTAATTAGAATAAAATACACCTCATGCTTGTATAATTATATCAAAGTCCATTCTATTGTCATATATAACTAAAAAGAACCAATAAAATAAAAAAGACAATGTGTATAAGCACTATGGCCATCATCATTAATTTAAATGATTTGTTATTTTATAAAATGGAAATTTACACAATAGTAATAATTCAGAAGTTTCTTTTTAAGGGCCCTTTTTCAGGTATCTTCTACATCTCCCTCCCAAACCCATGTCTGGCCTTCATGTGATGCTTTTGCCTTCTTCCTGATAGCTAGTACTGAGTCCTACGTTATCTCAAATAATTTCCTTTGGTTCTTGTAGTATAGACAAGGCAAAAAGAGCAGAGAGAAAGAAGCATCAAATGAAATACCATGTATATTGTTTTTCCACAAATAGCTCCCCAGTTGCTTAGTACACTGAATTCCATCTATCATTCTCTTTTGACATTTTTCTGACCACACAAGGAAAAATATTTTTCTACATTTGAATGTACCAGATGGAAAATCAGATAAAAAATCTTCCTTTGTCTTAATATTTTATGCACTATATTACACTTATGTACTGATGTGCTAAAGAGACTGGTTCCTATTGCAAAGTTAAGTTTTTTAAAACAATGGGAAGAAACGAAAAAGAAAACAAGAAAGGGATAAACGTCCACTTAGGTGTGCAATGTGTATGATATGCTTCTCCTTGGGTATTGAAAGTCCACGTGATGGAATTTGTCCTCTGCCTTCTCTTTTGAAGTGCTTTGGGTTTGCTGGAGACATATGGCTCCCTAACACACAGTCTTACTGGGTGTGACTTCAACAAGCCTGTCCCAACCTACTTTCCATAGAGTCCACTTCAACCGTATCTCTTTCACATCCCCCATGCCTGTCCAGTCAATTCCTAGAAATATAAGATCTTTTTAAGAACTATTTTCATTTCTGTACTGATAGCTGGAATGGGACAGGGCATCCTACAAAACTCTGAAGCTTAACATCCAGGCAGAGTGTGATAGAGTAAGTATTTGAACTCTACTTATTTTAAAGTCTTGCTCCTCTCCTTATTTATCTTGGTAGGAAAATCGCCTCCTCCCTCCTTATTGACAGTTGGGGTTGGAGAGAGAGATGCCACAGCACATCCATTTTCTAAACCGACACTCTTCTTCCAAAATAGCATTTCCTGAGCTATAATCCTATTTATATGAGCTAAAGAAAGATAATAGGGAAGAATCAGAAAACGGGTTACCTTATTTCTAAGCAAGTCTGCAGCCTTCTCTAGCCAGCCCCACTTTAGCTTATGAAGTTACATGTAATTCATTCCAAGTT